CAAAACTTATCCCCTTCCCTTGTTGTTCTATAATGTTCCAACAATTGGCCTTTGAATTTTTCCTATGTTCTGACTGGTTGATCTTACTCTCTCCATTGATATCACACTAAAGTCTTCTCTTACAAGTAAAGAGTCGCACTATCAATTTTTATTCCTCCGTCAGCCCATTAACAACAAAATATCTCTCCATGCGATAAAACAAACCATAGGCATCATCTCCTTCAAAGATCAACATCTTCAACTTCCTTATGTGTGAGTCCCCTCCCCAATTTTCTCGGTCAGAGCTCATTCCACCCATGTAGCAGGGATTAAGTTCCCTTCCTCGACCCATATTAATTTCTCTTATTCCATATGTATAGCTTACCCCAAAATCAGCTCGTTCGTCCCTATAAGCTTCTAAATTGCCATCCACCCAGAAGGCCGCCACAACAAAAGGCACTGGCTAGCTCGAATTTAGACTATTTCGTAAGTTTCGATCAAGAATGCGAAGGACACCTCGACAATTTCAGCAATACGAGTCAAAACAGTGGAAGATTTCTAGTGGAGTATCGACCTCGAATGCCCAATTTGATATGAAAGAGACAACTTCCAAAGAGATAAGGCAAACACAATATTGTATTTCACCAGCACAAAATAACATAACTCAACAACAACAACAACATAGCCTTAATCCCACTACGTGGGGTCGGCTACATGAATCATTTTTCTCCATTACGTCCTATTTAGTGTCAAAATTTCATTTAGTTCTAATAAATTAAGATCATTTTTTAAACATTAGCTCAAGTCTTCCTAGGTCTACCTCTGCCTTTCTTAACATAAGTCAAATTTAAAACATTTATTCTCCTAATTGGATCATCAGATGGTCGACGCTTAATGTGACCAAACCATCTAAGACGACTTTCTCTAATTTTGTCCATCACAGGAGCTACATCAACCCTATCACGGATATATTCATTTCGCGTTTTGTCTCTAAGTGTAAAGCCACTCATCCACCTAATCATTCTCATTTCGACAACACTTAACTTACTAATAACAAAATAACAAAACTTAAATACATAAAAAATAAACACCTGTAATTTGAGAGGATCTCTCTCAAACCCTAACTCTAGATTCAACACATCAATCACACACCCCCTAACCCTAAATATATTAAGTTATATTTGTACCCCATAATAATAACCATCAAATGACTAAATTACCCTTTTAGTTTTACACCTAACATAAGTCTTCAAACTATTTGGCGGGCTCAGCGTCGACTTAGTGGAGCATGGCGTAGACTACGTTGTAGGCGTCTGTCTAAAACATTGGTATCAATCTTTTTTTTTGTAATGATCATATTAAATGGGAAGAAGGGAAACGAAGAATCGAGGAAAAAGAATGGAAGGGTCGCGTAAATGAACATAAGGGGAAGATGAAGCGAGAAGGTCAGGAAGCTGAAGAGAGGAAAAGGAAACGAAGATTCGAACATGGAGGAAGATGAGGCAAGGAGTCGAGGAAACTAAAGGTTACTTTCGCCCTATAAAAAGACGTGCTTGAGGAGGCAGCGGTGAAAAAGACTTACTTAGGAGTCGAACAGTCCAAAAGACATCCTAGCCGGGACGAAGAGGCTTGAAGAAGTATCAGTTTCGAGCTTCAATTGGTTAGGTGTGAAGGAGAAAAATGCGGCGGAGGAGAGGCGGAGGAGAGGTCGTTCCCTAGCCTACCAACAAAGAAGAATATGAGAGGAAGAAGCATCGTAGAGAAGGAGAAAGTATTCAGTTCGTGCGTTCATGTGGGAGAGAAAGCTAAAGGCTGGCTTTCAATCTGAAACTCTCGTTAGCAAGAAGAAGCTCCCTCGTGGACAGTGGGGAAGTGGCAGTTTCTTGTGCGCTGAGTAGGGCGCCCGGCTGGCTTTATAAAGGTAAGTTGATTTATTTAAGTTATTATATTATTTAAAATTAAGCTTAAGTAAATTTCATTCAGGTACTAAATAATAGTTAGGTTTTAATTCTAAAAGGATTTAATAATAACTTTGATTTCAATAATTAAATTTTAAACTTTAAAGTGTTGAAATTCTAATTAAAATGTTGTGATTCAACAATAATTTATAATTAAAATAAAATTAAGTGATAATTGTATATTTTATATTTTATAGGTGAGAAATTGATAGAAGTTAAAAGAATCGTCTATCATCAAGTGAGTGCTCATATTATGTTACTAAAGTAATATTTTGTTTATTATCAATCACATGCAATTATTGTTTCTGTTATAGTACTATATACCCATAATTTACGATACTGATAAACTTTGTTCATACTGTACGAATGACCTGTGCTCTGTTTTGCTTAATTTATTATTGAATCATGTACTATAATAATAACAGCTATGCGGTTGAGAATGAAATTTATTATTAAAAAGAAATTATTTTTATAGTATGTTTCTATGTGCATGTTTGGTTATGATAGAGTTACTCATTGATGGTACTAATGGGCGAACACTAAGGTATTAATGTACGTATTATGAAAAACATATTGATATTTATGTCTTAATTGACACAATTTTTATGTGATGCTCCTGTGGCAATTGCAAGATATATAATAACATTGATATGCTATTGATATAGTAAAATTCTTTGAATAGCATCAAATATTTTTACTGATTTATTAAAAGCTTGACTGATATACATATTTTTTTTTCACTTGGATTACTGTGATTTATAAATATGAATGTTCACTATTTTGTTTAGTTTATTGTTATTTTAAACTAATTTTTCAGGTTAATTAAAAAATTGAAGATGAGTGTTAGAAGAGATAACTTTTATAGAAGACGCGGACATTATATAGCGAGTTAATTTTAAATATATTAGTTTAATTTAATTTGATTGATAACTCTTCCATTTGTTAAATTGTAGAAGAACATAGAAAATTTAGATCTCACCATCCGACCGACTGTTCTAGTCTTAGTTATTTCTAAGTTCTGAATCGGGTTGTGACATTTTTTATTAAAAAAAAGATATTTAGTCACATTGTCACTTCATCAGACATAATAGAAAAGATAATCACTCCTCATGTCTTTAGCAGAAACCAATTAACATATTTTACAAGGGCTTTAGGACAACCTTATTTCTCTTATCATTGTAAAAAGCTTGATCTTCGTGATACATCAGCAGCAAGTTGAGATGAAGTAAACTTGAAGAGATTTTACCATATAGGAAGTTATCAATTATTCAACATTGTCTTTGCTCTATAATATATTTTCATAACTGTGGATATTCCATGTGATATTTTCTTTCTATTTTATCTATTGTATTTGCCCATATATAAGCATTAATATTATAGTAAAAGAAAAAAAAGGTAGTTTTCAAATATCTTAACAAAAATAAACAATATCCACACTTGTTTTACCACAAATAAGTATGAAAATATAGATTGTTGTTTTAATTTGGAAGAAGTCATGTAATACATGGACTATGGAATATCACTTGTTTTGCTTGAATTTTTCTTTCATTGAGTGATATTATGTAACGGATGACTGTCTCAAAAAATAGTAAATGTGACAAAATCCAAACCAAACTCACATTTTATTTTGAAAATTTCATTTCTCCCAAACATAACAAAATATTATTTTTTCTTGAAATTTTCCTTTTGGTTCATTGTGGGGTTCTTAGGTTGCAAGTATTTAAAATATATGTATACTACGAAAGCAATTTAAATTAAATAAGATGTGTTTGGAATAATTAGACACATTTTGTAAGTTGCAATTTTTTTTATTGGTTGGAAATAAACTAAATCTAACTTAATTTTAAAAAATATTCTTTCACCTGCACATTTTATATTAATATAATTTTTGAATTTAGTTTAAACAAGCATAGAACATGACATCGGCGGGTCAACAATGGCGGTTTCAAGTATGATGTAGATGCCATGTGTGAGGACAACAACACTTCATAAGTGCATGAAGCGGGGAGATCAAAAGCGCATGAAACAAGGAGGCAAAAGCCATTAAACAAGGAGGTCATGAAAGTAAGGTTGTCAAGATGCAAGTACATGGACGACAGAGTGGCAGGTTTGTGAGAGTGGGTATGCCTAAGGCCCTAGACAATGACTGCAAATGTTCGACAAACTGCAAATGTTCGACAAACTAGTCATGACTTAACTTTGTTATAGCTCATTCACAATCATTTAATTAACCAACATTAATAAGTTAAACACATTTATACATGCTCGACTGATAAATGAGCGACCATGAATAATTTAGTATCTAATTTACAATTATGAATAATATTATTTAAAACTTGCAAACAACTACGGTAAAACGTGTGATTAAGGCTCGATAAAATAATCATTTAAGAATCAATTATAAATTTAATTAATTTGTGATTATGTGAGAATTTTGTTTTCTTTTCTATATAAGATTGTTTTTGTTTATGAACACAAACTACTGACTTATACCCGTTATAATACCTTTTTATTTAATAGTGTATTCAATTAAAATCTCATTTTTAAATTCAATAGGCTATTCATTCATAGGCTCAATAAAACTTATTCAGCTGACTAACAAGCTACTCGCTAATGTTGCTCATTAATAGGCTTGGTAAAAAGCTGGTTTGATTAGCTAATAAGCCACGCTCAAACAAAGCTCAAGTAGCTATTATTTTAAACAAATGGAATCTGAATACCACTAAAAGCAAACTTGAGCTTAACTAGGATTTTGGCAAATGACCTCAAGCTCAATAAGCTCCTGCTCAGCTCGACTAGATTCATTTGACTTTCTAGCCTCGACACGAGGTAGTGTGGGCAATGTTACACAGATGCAAGGTCATGGGTTCACTAGTGAACAAAGAATTAGAAATTTGCCTGATACTGGCGAATTCTAAATTCAGAAAAAATGAGGTATTAAGGGTAGACAAAATCATCTATTTATAAGTATAGTACATTCCTAGTACATCAAAGTAAACATCTGAAACATATCAACATAGAATAATAATGATGGAGTGTTTAAAAGATGAGTAAATTTTCTACCTCATAATCAATGAGTTGAATGATATTGTTCTTCCCCTTCAGCTTGTGCAAATATCCAACCTCTTGACAAAATCCGTAAGCTGTCGAATAATCACGGCCTTTCAACTTGATCTTTTTAAGGGCATATATAATACAATCTGCTGATATAACTTTGTGCACTTCACTACTCCCTCCGCTTCCTATTTTTCCAAGTTTTTGATATAGCTTTCCATTGACATTAAAAAATAAATTGGGATCATACTTCTTTCTCCGGGAGGATTTTTCAACATTGCTTAGCTGAGGGGGGTTGATATCTGGTTTTGAGGTTGGATTAATTGTTGAAACAGCCTGAGACTGCAAGCAATCAGCATTATATGATACTTCTCTCTTCACCATGTCTTCACTGTTATGAAAAACTTGCTTATCCTGCATTGACGGATGAGGAGGACCCAATATACCTAGTAAGTTCTGTGATGCAGACCCTACCATTTGTGTGGAAATTGCACTCTGTTCTAGCGAAGGAGCACTTGTGCACTGAAATGTTGGGCATGAATGGACAGAAATTGTTGTCACACAGGAAGAGCACGCTAGTGTTGTACACCGTGTTCCTGGTTGAAAACAATTTTGTTTGTGGTTCTGCTCATTCACCTTGTCCATGGCCCCAGAAAAGTGTACCCCAGAGCCAGAGATTTCCATGTTCTGAGCACCTTGTTGATAAAGACCCTGCTCGTCCGCATTTATCCTGTTCCCTGAAACACCTTCATCCACTGTCAATGCAAGAGAATGCACGTAATAAGATAGTGTCGTCCATTCCACTATCATTTCTCAATTGTGTAAGAAATATCTTCGTGAGAAGAACTAAGAGAAAAAACTATGTAAAAAACCAGTCAATTGTATAAAAATAATGCTACATGTATCGCATGCTAAAAAGAGTGAAACTGTTCTTATTTGAAAAGTGTCTGATATGTCAAAACTACTTACTCTGAAATGTTTGCTGCTCGCTGAAGGCAGAAGAAGGTTGAATCTGCTTCAATTCATCATTGGCCAGAACAACTTCGGACTTTAATTCTAATGAAGATTGAAAGGCGGCCAAACTTGCCTCTTCCCGAACTCTGGCAATCTCTGCATCCCGATCAAAGCTGTTCGATTTAATCTTCGGTTCATGAACACCAGTCAAGGTACAACTATCAGATGGAGGAGTGAGAGATGAATCGTTTGGAGTCGTCCCCATTTCTGCAGGTTCTTCGCTCATCAATCTTGTTGCTGCTTCCGGTACTAGGGTTTGGCGTACGTCCTTCGCAGCATTACTTTGGCTCAATGGAAGCACAGAAGTAATACTACGCATCGATTGTTTCCCCAGAGGATCTATCATACGAACGGGCCGCGCAGCTGAACACCACATCGCAAAACCAAAAGAACACAAGCAATCAGCGCAAATCACAAAATTTAACCTTCCCAACTTAACAGAATTAACAAAACATCAAATACTACAAACTAAAACCCTAGTTGGTCTAAAAAAAAACAATGCATCAATAAATAGAAAAGAAGAGAGTGAGCAATATTAACCTAGAGGTCTGCGATGCTTCAACACAGCGTGAACGTGGCGGAGAAAATCGGGCGGACTAGCTGAGGAGTAAGAAGAAGAGGAGGAGGATGTCAGACTCGTTCCTCCGGTGATCTGACGAGAAAAGTTGCTTGTCGGCACCCGTTGCGGAAGATTATCCTTCCTCTCCATTGACAGTGGATCGCTTCCGCATTTCCACGGGAACGAGAGAGAGGGCAGCGGATCAAGAACGTCGACGCTGATAGACAGTTTTGGCTTCGGCCATCGGAAAAAGTGGAAGGTCGGGTGCTGTCATGTCGTTTTAATGGAGGTTGGAAGGAAGAACTCTGCCGGACAGCTGCGAAGAAAGGAGAAAAAATATCAAGTGGGGGAAGTCTCCACTAATAATATCTTGACATTTGATATATTTACATTTGAGTCAAGGTATACAAACTTATGTTTTTAGGGTAAGTGGGTACAAATTTTATATTTATTTGTATCTTGACTGAATTAAGATGGCTCATGCGACACATTGTTATTGGAGTTTGAATACAATGAGGCGGACTTTTGAAAGCTCGCTGCGGTGGGTACTTTTGAGTTTGGGTGGGTCGGGTCCAAGCTATATTCTTAGGTTTAGAGTATGCATAAGTAGTAAGAGCATTTAATTTTTTAGCATCACAAAATAAGTAATGCTAATAATGTTTTAAAAGTAAAATGTAATTTTTAATGCAACAATTTATCTTTTACTTTCATTGAGGCATTTTGAAGAACGACAATATGTTCGATCAATTTGAGAAAGTGGAGTATGTAGGCAATCATCTTTGTACAGTACTTGTTATGTTGGATTTCATTTTGATCGTCTTCTACTTATTTGAAAGTAAAAGATGAGGTGAATATTATTATGAAAAGTTTTAAAATCTCATTTTTGTAAATTAGAAGTGTGAATATTAAAATAAATTAATATTAGGCAACTTAATTTGGGGAGATTGAATTATATGATCTTTCCATACTGTAAGATAAAAATTGAGGAGATCTAAATATATTTTATTTCCAATATTTGAAATATTTATATTTTATATAACATGATCCTCTCTTATTTATATGATGGACTGTGGATGAATTAGTTGCGTTGTGTTTCAACAATTATTTGACCGATTTTTTTCTATTCTCCCCACCTATTGATAGTGGAATAACCTTAATCTGTGGACGCAAACGAATTTGTGATGAACCATGTAAGTCACACTGTATTTGGTTTATTTTATTTTATTTTTTAAATTTTTTTTTTAATTTGTATTCCACATTGCTTTCCTCAACAAAAGAATGACCCTAAATAAGACACTCTGTTGTATGCAATTTTTCTTTTTGTATAGACTTAAATATGAATTTACTAAATCTAACTTTTATGTGGATTTAACGGATTTAGCTTTGAAAAAAAAAAAAAACGCATTGGGGATCTTACATTAATATACCAAATATCCACGTCAAACGAATTTAAATGGATTTAACCCTAATTGATCCAAATAATATTCTTGATCTAATATCATCTCGATTTAATAAATTTGGATTTACCATATTTACTAAATCCTATATAACTTAAATCCAAGTTGCAGCCAAATAACCTCTTAGCGTTCATAGAACTCACCACAACTGAACGGAGTAGTTCTTCTAGGTGTTTATAAGGGGGGTTATTGTGGAGGCATTTTTAATTTGAAGTTCCCCACAAACACATATTTGATTGTTCGTAGCTTAGTTGATTGTATTATTTTTGGCTCTTTGAATAAATCAAGAGTTACACGGACAATTTAAACACAAACACAGATATATATATATATATATATATAAAAGGCATGACTGCTCAAATTTAAATAGAGTTTCATCTTATCTCATTTAGACATATATTTTCTATATTTTATGTGTAAGTTTATATTGTCAATTGTATTCTCGGTGTATTATAAAAATAATGCAGAATTTTTTTAAAATTCTAACACTTTATCAGTGAAACAATAAAGGGATAAAATACTATGTACGGTTTTAGCACATTTGAAATTTTCTCCCACTTTGATTTGAATGTATTTATAATTTAGTTGATTTAGATGAATTACAAATGTACAACTTATGTAAATGTCAACCATAATTAATTGCTACTTCTCAAATTCCACCGTTGCAAATATTACTTATCGTGATTTTTATCATCGTCGTTAACCACGACAACCACACATTGTCGTTAGCCACCGCTACCACCAGTCTACACTAGCCATTATGTTTTACATTGTATATGTATTGTGCTCATCTAAAAACAAAAAAAAAAACATTTCCACAGTATTCAATCAGACAATTATATTTACTTTTCAACGCAATATATTTATTGTTTACTTATTTTTTTAAACAAAGTAAAAAAAAAACACTTAAAATTATTGTTTCAGTTGTAGGTTTATAGTCTGTTTGGGGCAGCTGTAGCTTATTGAATAATCTGTTGATAAGCTGATTACAAATAATTTGTTGATAAGTTATGTGCGGTAGCTATTACAAATTTTTATTTTTTTTGGAAAAGTCAGACCGCAGTCAGAAAGCTGCCACCTCACCTTGATAGGTGCGGTGTGAAAACGCAATTTTCAGAGTTTTGAAAATGCATAAGCTGCCAAAACACAATTTTTCCAAACAGCTCAAGTGCGTTTTCAAAACGTCACCGCACCAAATAAACGGATCCTTAGTGTAACTGATATGTCTTTCAACATGTTTAATTTTCTTTATATTTAACATTTGTTTTTGAATGAAATTGCACTTTTTAAAAAGGTTATTTCATGTTTATATTGCATGTATAACGGGTAGAATAATTGGAACGAATTGGAACTAAAACAGAGCGCAATAGAGGCAAATGGAGTAAAAGAGTGTTGTCAGCAAACTGGCTCTTAGGCGCCACCTTTTGGGTGCCAAAGCACTGCTCCACTCCATATCACATTGGAGCCAAGTTCTAGGCACTTAGGCACCAGAATTCTCCCAGCAAACTAAGAAAGCATCACCTAGGCGTCGTAGACTGGGCGCCAAGGCATTGCCAAATGTCAAAGCAGTTTCAGCACGACTTCAGATGTTATTTAACGCAAGCCAACCGTTGGAAAGATACTTTTTGGCATTTTTAAGTCCTATAATTCTCCAGGAACACCAAGAGGTCGAGCATTGCAACATTGCAAGAAGGACTTGGATTCATTGTTGGAGGAACTTTTCAACTCTTTTCAAGGAGAAAAGTTGAGTATCGTGTTCTTATTTGTCTTGGACTTGTTGTAAACACATATTTATTGTATTTATTTTGTTAAAGGATGATGATTCCCATTGTAATCTTCATGCTTTATGGGTAGATTACCTTTACTTTTCTCCTGTGATGAATATGTATGATGCGTTGAATGCTTTTAGAATTAGATTTAATACTAATGTGTTGATCTTTCCTTCTACGCTTCATTTACTTTTTGAACTGCCCATATGAATTGTTAAAATTTATTGTGCAGAAAAGCTATGCATGAACTACTAGGGAGATCACATTAAACTAGTGGGTGAAGAAAAAGTAATTCGTAGGGCAATGCAAATAGAATAGGAGATAGGTTTTGATGGGTAGAACTTGGGAGTTTCTAAGGTGATAGGCAAAAACCTTTATCAAGTTAAACCAAACTTCTTTACGCACTTGGAAGATGGTAAATAAGATATATGTCCATATTTGTCACTAGCCATATTAGCAATTCTCGGTATTTGATCCTACTATCCACTCAGGCAATCACAAGAGAAAGGTAGCTTTCATATCTTGTAATTCACCAAACCAATAGATATAAATAGATTTAGCTTTAGACTTAGTGTTGTAGTTTAGGACTAACTGTTAGAAAAATCATTGTAACTTGCATTCCAAACTAATACCTTAGCGTATTAGACTAGAACTTCAATTAAAGAACTCATTACCCTCTTCCCTGTGGGATCAACAATCTGGACTCAATAGAGCCCTACATTACTGAAACGATACACATACTTGAGTGAGAAATCCCATTGAGTAATAACACATAATTTTAAGAACTCAATTAATTTGCTAGGGAGCGGTTCAAGTTTTTGATGTCATTACCAGAACTTACATTATTGTGATTATTGTTGGGGCAGATCAGTAACATACTGAGTTGTTCGCTTACCCTGGTTGTTTTTGCATATTTTCATGGAAGAGTAAGGATCCAATAAAGTGAACTACTAGTACTTGCTGATATAAGTATATTTTATATCTAAATTTTGTGATCATGATAAATATGTATGTCTTGTTGGGATTATTAGAAAATCATGATCATTGTATAGAAATATTTTATATGTAAATAATTTTGATATAAAAAAAATTGATGATATTTAGTTTTTTCTTACTATTATTGGTGACTTAGTGGCTCTATGTAATAAGAGATAAAAGAAATTTTGTTCTAGATAGATATTGGGCAAAACACTCTTTTGTTCTCTCGACTTGATATAATCTATTAATGTATATGGGTTATATCAAGTCGGGTTGTAACAGTGGTAGTGGGAAACGTTCGTTGAGTTTTTGGTCTGGAACAACTTTGAAAATTGGCTCATTCTCTTCTCCTTAAGGTCTTTGTCCTTTCTTTCATGAGGAGAGTAGGGCTCTGTTTATAAAGCCCATTGACATGTCTAGTAGCATTCTAAATTTTCCTTTATATTTAATACTTATTTTTTATGAAACAACACATTAAAGGAATGTATTTCATGTTTTTTGCAGGTATTAAGGGTAGGAGATTTAGAGCAAATTGTAACGAAAAATGAAGTAAAAATGAGGTGAATGGATCAGTGAAGCAAATAGTGAATTGGCGCTTAGGCGTCATGGCGCATATGGGCTCTTAGATGCTAGAATACACCATACTTGATCCCGTAAAAAGATAAGGCGGCACCTAGGCATTCCAGGCTGACGCCTAAGTACCAGTGATTTTCCAAGCATTCCTAAGAAGGTGGCGGCTAGGCACCAAAACTGTCCTGGACTATTTTTGCAGCAGTTATGTACGAGAATGGGGTATAATTCCAAGGGGAAACAGTTCAGGAGGAAGAAGAAGAATGTTTTGGGAAGTCGAGGAGAAAGCATAGGAGTGCAGAAGAGGAGAGGATAAATCTAGTTTTTTTTTTCTGCATTTCCTTTGAGAGGTTTGAGTGAAATTGTAAGGGTTATTTTAACAGTGAAAGGAGGACTTGAAGATCACTTGGGGGGGAGTGTTCACTTCTTTTATAAGGGAGAAAGATAAATGTTTTATTTTATAGTCTTGTATTAGTGTAAATTCATCTTGTATGATTTTGCTTTATTATAAAATGATGAATTATTGTGCTTACTTCATGCATTGTGAGTAGATCCTTTGTATATTTCTCTTGTGATGAATTGGTAATATGTGTCGGTAGGTGAATACATTTAGAATGAGTTATCAATTATTATTGTGATGGTTTTTACTTCACACATTGTTTACGTATCGATCTGGTCATTTGATAGGTTAAAATCTGTTATGAATCCATATAGATCCGAGAGGACTATGACTTTAACAACTAGTGAAAACCACATTGTTTCATAGGGTGCAGGAAAAGTAATCTGTGGATCAGTGCAAATATATAGGGAGATAAATTTAATGAGGGTGACTTAGAGTTTTCTAGGGTGACAGATAGAAACACTTACCTAGTTAAATCTAACTTTTTTATGTACTCGGAAGAGGGTAGAGAAAATGAATGATCCTATTTGCCACAAATTTCAATGGAAATTTTAAGTGTTCCACTCCTGCACAAATTACTTCTTTCATTTTAAGGGGAGGGTATTTTTCATAGCTTGTTTCCTTTTAAATTCTTTAACCTTAGTAAAATTAGCTTTATAGTAAATTTGTAGGATTAGTGATAATTTGGTAGAATTCACTTGTACAACCTAAATTAAATTTATTTCCAGGCTAATACTCTTTATATTTAGTTAGAATTTTTCTCATGACTTTAAAATTAATTATCTTCCCTGTGGAATTGATACTGTGGACTAAAGAAAATCCAGTATTACTTGAACGATACGTGCACTTGTGTAAAATATTTAGTGTGTAGTATTAAATTGTGGAAAATCTTTAATTATAAAATTTATAAATCATATTTTAAACTTAAAGTATTTTATCCTAAAACACTAGGGCATCTGATAAGTCAATCACCCATGAGTGACCTCCCCTATAAATAATGAAGGAATCCATTTACTTCATCGAACAACATGAAGAAATTCTTGCAATCAAATTGAGTATTGTGGAAATTTTAATATCTTAATGATGTTAAGATGGAGTGATATTAGGCTCGTTGGACGCTTTTCATTGAGACACTCAATTTGATTATAGGTTTGTGAGATTTGAAATTATTTGATCATTCTATCAGCCACTCAAAGCTTCCAAAAGTTGTTTAATGAGTTGATCTGAGCTTTTTTAACTCATATTAAACCAATTTTGGTGTCATTGCGTTCTTCTTGTCGAGTTAGTCAGCTTGACTGCAAGTCTGCTGAAATAAGTATTTTGGAATATTTTTAATTTAAGTTTCAATATTCATGCTCAAAAAATGCATTGAGATTCGTGTTGACCACTTCGAGGTTCGTGATAAATGACAAAATTTATTGATGACGTAGCACTCTTGGTGTCATGAATCTATGTGTATGAAAAGTTGTAATTCACTTAAAAAAAAGAGTCATATTTTTTATGTTGTTGGATCCTTTTAGGCCATTGGGTCATGTACTATTCATGAGATCTAACAACTATGGGAATATCTATGAGGAAAGAGATGTGAGAAAGATGACAGGAGAGGATATAGTTTTAGAAGTTTGTCCATGTGCACGTCCCTCCTCATCCCTCCAAAGGTGGAAGAGCTTATCTACTTATATGACTCATAAATGACTCTTTGCCCTCCTGGGACCATACAAAGAGAGAAGAAAAGAATAAAAGTACAGTTTGAATAATATGAAATCTATCTACGATACTCCAATTAAATGATGTTGACATGGGTATTAGGTGACTCATAAAGGTGCATTAGTCTTGGACATGCATCCATTCTTTAACAATGACATTCACTTTGGCCATTAGTTGATCGCGATGGACACTTGTCGTGAGATCCACAGGTCGCTTCGACAGCTAGTACGCATGTCAACATGTGAGCTTGGTAGACCACCTCAATAGTTTATATGTAATGAGAGTATTTTTGGGGGAGATGAACTTTCTAGGTCCACGAGGCCTATGGACATATACATTGGTTCATAAAAGCCATTTATTCCTATAAAAATATGATATTAAAAATTTGAGCGATATGAACATAAATTTGTTTAGATGTTAGGTATCTTAATGCATAAAGATATAAAACTAGGCAAATAACTTGTCCAAACAAGCACATCACAATAGGAAAATCTGAAGGTCATGTAGGACGACAGCTTATGAGGCGTCAGTGCTTTTTGTGAATGGTGTAGATGTGAAAAAATTATTAGATCCCGATGAATTGTGTGCGGATTAGATGGATAAATTTATTTTTTAATATTAATGATATTCATATACTTACAAGCTGCTCAACCGGCACCGATTTTCCGGTTACGTGCCGGTCGAAAATACTATAAATGGCACGACGAAACTACTGCTAAGTACGTGGAGGTGCTCTTCGCCGGCCTCGCATGGCTTCTCTCTTCTCGCTCTCCTATGTCCTTCAAAACCCTCGTCCTATCCTCTACCTAAACCCTAATTATAGTTTCCGATTATCTTCACCGCGCCCGAGAACGTTTTGGCGCTGCGTGAGGGCGAACGGCGAGAGTGACAGCCCCTCACCGCCGCCTCTTACGGTAGAGAAGAGATCGCTGGCCATGGTTACTGGTGAGCTCTTCTTGGGAGTCGCATCGAAGCTTCTTAGGATCCGAAGTTCCTCGGCTGGGAGTACCGTCGTTGTGTCAGGGGAGGAGGAGGCGGCCGGCTATTCTGGGAGTGGGAGGAGTGTTGCGTCGGTGGTGGAGGAGCCCGTGATCTGGGAGCAGAGACCGGAGGATTTGATGGCTGAGAGGGAGAGGAAGAAGGTGACGAGCCCAGGGTTTAGCTTCTCTGCCGCTGGGTTGCTGTTTCCTTACCATCTCGGTGTTGCTCGGCTTCTTCTTGAGAAAGGTTATATTAAGGTTGTCCTTCTGATCTTTTGTTGCACGGTGATTTTTCAGAATTTTGTGTGTAATTGAGAAGACTGTATCATTGAATCATTGGGAATGGCATGAACGTCTTATTTGCAGAGCTTATTATTGAGGTCTTTATGATGCTTGAAAGAGTTAGTAGAGTGGTAATCTAGTAGCCAGCCTCTCAAAATATGAGAACCTGTGAGGCAAGCATAAACTCCGAGGTCTCATTTACTAAAATGTAATTTGATTAGAGCAGAACTCTCATGAAAAAAATGAACACGTCGTTTGAGTAGAGCTGTATAACCCTTCATTTTCTGTGTTGGCAATCAAATCACAGAGACAACAAATGAAACAGAGTGAACTCATCTCGTTAACTTGGTTTAGGAATTTTTGTATCCAAGTTGATGAGCTACAACTACGACTATCACTATTACCCCTAGTATCAAGCTCTATGAAAGTTCAAACGGTAATCTGAATCATTGTGGGCTGGGATGCGTGGCAGGTGGTGGCGGCAGCAGCAACAAGTTGTTGTTTGCAGTGTATTTGGAAATCACCCAAATCTAACGAATTTAGAGTACCCCAATTTTGAATTGTAGGGCGAATTCCAGATTCACTAAAATTTTACACTACATTCTGTTTTTATCTAACCAAATGCTAGAATTTTGAAAATCTTTGCATTTGGTTTACTGCAACTAAAAGGAAGCAAACAGCCCTTAAATTCGACTCAAAAGTAATTTTGAAAGCTATACTTGTTGGAGGACTCAGTAAGAGTAGATATCCATAATTTTTTCGGGCCAAGGGAGGATGATTGACGAGGTTTCAATGTCTCTAAGCTCCTATTAAACCCTCCATTAACTTATCATGTGTGCTCAGGAAATCAAACTGTTTTAAGATACTTGATATTCAGACTTCAGATTAAAAACCAAGCACTGACTTTTGAATGTGACAGTAACACACATTTTGATTGAAATTAACCTTTCAGAATGAAAACATCATTTATCACATTATCTTATTTGTTACTTATGCACTTACTTTTTCCTTGGTTAGGAAACTACTCCATTAGCTGGTTCTTCGGCTGGTGCAATAGTTTGCGTGGTGATTGCTTCAGGAAATAGCATGAAGGATGCTTTGCATGTTACCAAGATATTGGCTGAAGATTGTCGACTCAATGGCACGGCATTTAGGCTTGGAGTATGCAAAACTTGCTTCCCCTTTCCTCCCTTTTACTTCCAAAAATATATCATTTTTGTAAAACTATTTGTGGTCACAAGCTCCTTTTTCGTCATTGCTATTTTGCTATTGCAGTTTGTAATTCTTTTTTTGACTATAAATTTATTGCGTACCATTTTTAGTATGTATGTACTTCAATAGCACGATATCTACTTAATTGAGAAAATTTAACTTGTTGCTATGAAAGAATTTGATTATAGATCAGAAAATTGCTCAGTCATGCTATTCCTGTTGAGTATGAATATTTTGCAGCATATTTTGTGGATTAATCTCATTCGGAATATATGATAAATAATTTGAGAAATATGTACTGGTATATTTTTTTCTATTCTTTAATCATAGAAATGTATGGTGTTTTTCACATAGAATATTCTTTTGATAGTTAAGTTAACAAAAGTCCCTACTTTTAGATAGATATCCAACTCATCCCCAGTGTTTTGTGTTGTTTTTTAAGGTTCATATATCATCACATTTATTGGATTATATATTATGTAGTTCAAATTAGGCCTATCAAAATAGAGTCAAGTTGAATTATAAAAAGGAGCTTAACCAAACCACTTTATATGGCCTTTTAGCCCATTTATATTTTGTTTGGATTTTAGGCATTATTTTTTTACTTTAATTAATATATGTATAATGTCATCCTCATTTTAGGTGATATGAATGAATACTATTTTTAGGGTTTGTTTCTTTATAAATACTATTGGTTCTATGGATTGCTTGATAGAAATTATTGAATGAACGTTTTTGAAGTCAATTAAGTGTTTTCAAATTTAGCCAAGTTGTATTTGTGTGTCAGTTCAATTTCTGTGTACAGAGGTTCTCTTCCCTCTTTCGTATATGGAGTTCCTCTCTTTAACCCGTGTTTCCTTTCTTTTCTTTTTTCTTTTATTTCATTCATAAACTCTCCATCGATTATGAAAAACCGACAACAATGCCAACAACATTTGATCGGTCAGAAGTATGAGAAAAAACAGACAACAATGTCAAGAACATTTGATCGGTCATAAGCATGAGAAAGACAACAACACTAAGAGCGTTTGATCGGTCAAAGACATAACGAAACAACCGATAACGATGTCAAGAGCGTCTGATCGGCCAAAGACATAACAAAACAATCGATAACGACGTCAAGAGCGTCCAATAGGGTGCAGAACTGCAGACTTACTTCTGGGGAGAGCAACTACATGACATCCCTTTGGGGCGACCAACCCTGGGACTCTCGTAGGTGATGATTAAAGTACTAGAATCGAGCATAAAAAGCGTCTAAAAGGGAGTATCAATAGCAAATTATGCATTCAAGACTTGTTTGATTTATAAGTTTTCTTATCTTTATTGTAGTTGTCACTATAAAAAAAGCAAGAAATTTGAGAAACTTAATATGCATATTCCAAAATGGTTTGCACGAATCTCGCGACAATCCTATAGTCAACCATCTCACTTCAATCGACGTCCAAGCTCTCTCCACCTCACTTCAGTCGACCGACCAAGCGTTCTCACCCTCAGTCACCTCACTTCAGTCGATCGACAAACATGAACATGAAAGTCTTCATCCATCTCGAGACGATTCAACGGTGGAAATAAAAGTAACTAAAATACATTTTATTTTTCTCTTCAAAGCATGGCCAGATATGTAATTTTTTGTATATTTTTTACCCCTTCTATCTTCTATAAATAAGAGGATTTCATGATGTAAAAGAGATCCTTTTGTGGGGATTCAATTTTAACACATATCTTCAACAAGCCTGGGAACACCTTATTTCCCATGTCGGGAAAGTCCTCCACTCCTCTTCCTTCTCTCTCTCACACTTTCTATTGCTTGGGCACAACCTACCAGACAGATTCAGATGCAACACACACACACACACACACACACACACACGCGATGTTTTTGAAAGGCCCTACGCTATGGTTTCTTCTCCCAGTGACGTTTCCATGGCGAATCGCGTAACTCTTCACTCTCTTCATTTCTCTTCCCCTCTTCTCATCTCTGGTCTCCGTTTGTGTCCTCGGGACGTTCTTACGTCGACGCTTTTGTTAGCGACACCCCCACTTGTGCTCCTAAATCGTGTATGTTCCCGCTACTCTTCCACGACACTTTAGCGCTTGGTGTTGACACCGGTTTTCTCAAAAAAAAAACATCCCGTAAAAATGGTAAGTCTGCACTCTTTCTCTCTGATGCTGAAGTCTCTGCGTTAGCTTCATCCCGCTGGCTGGCCATAGTTGGTAAGTTCCTCTATGGAAACCTTAAACTCGATGCAATTTGAAATGATTTTGAGTAAATGCATCTGAAAGGGGAATGGAAGATTGGTAAACTGGACGGTAGACATATTCTTATACATATATCAAATGATGAAGACTATGCTCGTTTATTTGCGAGAAGACCCATTCAAATAGATAATAGTGTGATGAAAATTTTAAAATGGACTGTAGACTTTGATCATCTCACTAAACCTCCTACCATTTCTATATGACTATGTTTCCAGGGTCTGAAATTCCATGTCTTAAATCACGGCTCCTCTATTCCTTAGCTACGGTTTATGGTAAACCCCTGAAAACTGATATTCCTACATTTTTTCCGAGTCGCCCTTCTGAAGCCAAATTTTTGATTGAACGCTACATTACTTTACCCTTTCCGGAAGAGATCTGGATTGATCGCAGCACCAGAGTTTTTGGCAGCAGGTGGAACTGGAACAGTTTCCACCGTACTGCTCTCACCGCCGTATGTTTGGACACTCCCATTCTCAATGTCACCATCTACACCCGCATTTAAAACCTCAGAGTAAAAATATTTATGGGCCCCCTGCCCCTATTCATACTTGTCCCTCTTCTACCCCTGAGTGGAACACACTATCTAGTGAAAACTTGATAGAATCGCCACCCACTCTCCCTCCCACTCTCCCTTCTCTAAATCCCATTTCTACCGTCAATGGCGTCTGTAATCTCCTTACTACTTCCGGAGACCCCCGTGACAGTACTATTTCTGCTTCTGTAATTGATGTGATGCCGGATGGTTTTTTAGCTAGGCAACTTATAACCTCTAACTCCATTGATAATAATGCTGAAGGAACTTTATTCACACAGGAAAATGTTCGGCCAATTAGCAGGAGGGCTTTGAAGCTCCTCATCTTCCTGAGGAAGCCCTGGGTATGAAAGAAAAACTCTCTCTTAATGATAACACTACTGATCCATGTACTCTTGAAAGATGCAACTACAATTTTAGAAAATGAATGAAATACCCGACAAACCTATAAAAAACGAGGGAAGAGAAAAAGCAATTTCTTACTTGCTATGCCACTCGACAATCTTGACAGGAACATTACTCTTTTTTCAAAGGATAAATATCATTTTGATGGCGAACAACACACTCTTACTAAATATAGGAAGGGTGGGCCTATTCATGATGTTTAATATTATGGTGTGGAATATTAGGGGAGTGGCGGACCCCCACTCCCTTAATAGGCTCAAACATTTGTGTGGGGTTCGTAAGCTCTCTATTTTTACTATTCTTGAACCACTTGTCTCGATCAATAGAGACAATATTCTGAGGAAATTCAAACGCTACAATCACTATTGTAATTCCAATAATAAGATTTGAGTTTTTTTGAAAACTAACTTTACCTTATCTATTGCTCAAGATGATGATCAATTCGTCCTTGTTTCTTTTAAAATGGAGGATTTCCACAGTTGGGCTACTTTTTTATATGCTGGATATTTCTTTCATGATAAACTTAGTCTCTGGTCTCAATTAGCTGTTATTGGAGATACTTTGTCTGATAATTGGTTTATGGGCGGAGATTTTAATATGATCATGAATTCTTAAAAAGAAAGGGTGGTGGTAAATGTGATATCTCCCTTATAAATAGATTCAGTGATAAGTTTATTGATGCGGGTCTTTATGATCTGGGTTATTCTGGTAATCCGTTTACTTGGAGGAGAGGACTCATTTTTCAGAGGCTAGATTGTTTCTTGTTTAGTTATTACTTTATTTCACAGGTGCAACATCTCAATCACGCCGCTTCTTATCATAATTAAATTCTGTTAGTTTTGGGCTTTCTTACCGCCCCTCCCAAATATAAATTCAGATTTTTAAATATTTGGAATTCTCATGACACTTTTCTTAGTCTTGTTTGTCGGGCATGGAATTTCAATGGGGCTGGAAGCCCGTGGTAGTTGCTTTGGCAACTCCACAAAAAGGTTGCATTCCCACCTTAAGGATTGGAGTTGGTTAACTTTTGGTAATATACATCACAAGGTTACGGAGGCCCAACGTAAGGTTGATTCTTTGGAATCCCAGGTTTCTAATAATTTTGATGTTGCTAGTGATTTAATTTCAACTCATAAGCACCTGCTTGAGGCTATCAATATTGAGAAAAAATTTCTACAATAAAAAAACTAATGATATTTATTTTAAGGATGAGGATAGAAATACAGTGTATTTTCATGCCACTATTAAACATAGGAGGAATCTGAATACCACACTCAGGATCAAAGACGCTACTGGGGGTTGGACACTGAGCCAACCGATATTGGTAATAGTGCAGTCCATTACTTTACTCTTTTATATGATTCTACTTTGCAACTTACTCTGGTTGATCACACTCTCTTTCTTGAGGAGAACGAGTACATTTCCAAGCTTTCTTTGTGCTACCCTCCTTTTGAGGAGGAAATTCGGAATGCTTTCTAGGATATCAATAAAAACAAAGCTGCAGGGCCTAATGGTTTCTCTTCTGAGTTCTATGTTAAATGCCGGCCTATTATTAGGAGGGAAGTTACTCTTGCTATTCAAAGCTTATTCACCGGAGAAAACCCTTGCAAATTTTTTAGTTCTTCTCTTATAGGTGACCAAAAATGCAGTTTGGATCATTGTAGGCCTATTTGCCTAACCTCTATCATTTCCAAAGTTATCAATAAAATTCTGGTTGCAAATTGCTACCTCACTTATCTACCTTTATCTTTTT